ATTGGGATTTGAAACATAAGATGAAAGCAAAGCAGGTGGCCGGCGGGCCGCTGGACCATGAGAATGCAGCAGTTCTGTTTGACGGTGGCCGGCGGAGGTAACAATGCAGTGGTGGCTTCAAAATTGCCGGTAAAAGTATTCTTCCTGGGACGGTTGTAGTAGGTATGCCAGTAAATGTAATAAATCAGCGGCGGTTGCGGCATGCTCCGATGACGGATTGGAAAACAGGACAGGAGGCAAAACAGAAATTGTGGGGGTGGGGTTCGGCTCAAATTCAAAAACAAGATCAAATGCGGGGTTGCAAAAGTTTCTCTTTAACTTGTTACCTTCGAGCTCCAATGATTCTCTTTTTCTTCATAGCTCTTCTCTGTATTAAGAAGAAAATCCAAAAAGGATTACATATATAGAATTATAAAGATTAGGAAAATATGATTTAATTAAGTACCTGAAAGCTCTTTTGCCATGATCTGGAACGCTTGTTTGCAATAGGCAGCAGAGACTTGCCAATGGTGAGTTCCATGAATCGTTGTAGTTGGAGAAGTGTCACGTTGAGCGTAGTTAAAACACCTCTCCAGTCTCTGCTCCTCTACTCACCCCTCTGCTCACTTTTTATATATGCGGAGCAGATGATGGGTGAACACTTTGTGACGCAAGTACCTTTCCAAAGCCAACCAGCTGGCTACCAACGACCCCTGAAATTGATCGAAAGTGTAGTTATGAATTACTGTATCTTTGGATAAGCTCAAATCTTTTTTTTTTTCTTTTTGTTTTTTTTTCATGTTTTTGTCTAATTGTAAATACTCGTGTGACGCATGTGCTTTTTAGCCGATCCAAAAACCCTACTTTCATTATGGATTGCCTTAATGGAATTTAACTAACCGATTCCACACATTGCTTTACCTCAAAGATAAACCAACTGTTTTTCAAAACCACGTAATATTAATAGACAACCTCATCCTCCATAATACTTCTACCAAAAAAAAATTATGATATAGAGATAATTTATTATTATTATATATAAATTTTATATGTAATTAAAAAAATAGATGTACTTAATATAATAAAGTTTAAATAAATAA